GCTTTGGGCGGCCGTCATCAGTCACGAGTCGATAGGCTTCCAAGAGTCGATTGACGAAGGAGAGTTGCGAGCACTTTTTCAGTACATGCCGGTGCAAGTGGCTGCTCACAACTGCTTTGAAACGGATCGATATCCAGGGCTCAACCGAGTGGCAGCATTGACGCAGTCTGGCATGTCGCAGCTAAAGCCCGATGAAAATCGAGGCCGAAAGCGGGTGCTCATCCTCCTCTCCGACTCTACGACTGTTTTCGTTGCTGGCAAGAGAACGAGGACAGACCTTTCCTCGGATTTGAAGGCAGCGAGCTCGGGGGTCTATCTGCAGTACAGGGAGATAATTTACGAACCCCTGTGGGGCAAAACATTGTCCGAACTTCGGGAGAGGGCTCAGATCCTCTGTGACCAGACGGCTCTGCGCTACTCTGGCGACCAAGAGTTGCTGGTGGACGTGCAGATTGTCTGGATGGCGAATGAGATCGTCGGCAGATACGGGATATTTTGCAGCCCCGGCGTCCCGACGTGGTGGGACCATCAATCGCCCATAGAGGCCCGCGGAGATTGGCAAAAGATCTGTCGGAGAGTTTGCCAAAATCTTGAAGCGCTTGCAGACCTGCAGCGCCGTTCTCCATATGTGGGGTCCATTGTGATATGCACAGGAGTTCGCAGCTTCGTCTACGGGTTGCCAAAGCAGTTCGATGAATGCATTGCGCGATTCAAAGACGAAGCGGTCCGTAGAGGACTCGCCGCCTGTGACATCCACCCCTTCCTTGGAGATTTGGCGCTCTACAACGACAACGTCCATTTCCGCGAGGACAGTGAATCCCGCCGCAAGATGGTTTCGGGTTTAGCCCACATCATGCAGATCGAGATCGCCGAGCGCTACGCCTCCAGAGCGATAGCAAAAATGGGCGAATCCGCCTTCCAGTCACTGCTTGCTGACAATTATTTTGATTCCCGTGGTCGCTACGCAGTCGATAACCATGTCCTGCAAGCGGCTCTTGCGAGGATGACGAGAAGCAAGCAAGTCAAGGCGGAGCCAACGGAGGAGGATCCGTGGGACGACGCATACTGGGAGGAGAAGCGTGACGAAAGTCACGCCGAACTGCCTGCGCCTGAGGTCCCCGACTTCCTCAAGGAGATGAAGATTCAGAACGTCATCAGCGTCGCACCCGGTGTGTTCGCAACAGAAGAGGAGATCAATTCGCCGGAATGGAACAAAGCCCCACCTAAGGTGGAGGCCGTTACCCCGGCGAGTACTGCAGCTTCGTCTTCTGGCGATATTCGACCGATGCCGATCGACGCATCCATTTACGGTGGAGGCATTCTGTCTGGCGACTCTGGCACCGAGCACGCTGCAAAAAGAGCTCGCCTCGCAAAGGCTGAGGCCGACAAGCAGCGATTGACCAAGCTCGCAGTGCAGGGTTCGCGCGGAATGAGGTTCATGAACGACACCTATGACTTCGCCGAGATGACTGGCATTACCCTGTATGATTACTGGAACGAATGCCCCTCGCAAGAGGAGGCCGACCAGTACATCGAAGTGTTCCAAAAGGACATGACGCCAGGCCTACACTACCCGAGATGTGATCACAAAATGGTTACATTCGTCACTGGACTCATCAGAGGAAACTTCGAAAACAAGGGTAACCAATTTAAACTGCGATCGTGGAGCGGGCCATGGGTATTGGCCATGGAAGTGCTTGAGGTTGCCAATCGATGCAGACCTGGGAACAACATTGGTCTGGGAAGCCTCCTCGACATGATCGCTACCGACAACAAACAGCGCCTTATATGTTTCGCGGGCCAATGGACAGTGCTGCCGATGCAATTGGGCAACCGGCTTTTCCGGTCTACGTCGGGTGTACGCAAGGCCACTCCAGCAATCTGCAGCTCGACAATGCCTCTATTGCAAAGGCGTATCTTACGCTGCAGCGTTCTGATGAGCTGGCTAATGCCGCCCGAGAGGGCAGGCCGTTGATCCCGATTGACAAGGCACCGCCCAGGCTCTATCACCGCACAACACATGATGCGGCGTATGCGATTCTGGAAGATCGTTTGTTGCCGGGTTTTGGGGGTTCTGAGAAGGCGCATTGCTACTTTGCGCCGCTGCCGCTCGAGGAGCAGAAGGCACGTTCAGGACTCCGTGCGAGCTCACCGATCGAGATCGTCTTTGACACTCGGGAGGTCCTGGAAGCTGCTTGCGATCTATTCGTCACGGAATCGGACGGCATATTGTGTTCCGAAGCAGTGCCAGGATCAACAATCCTATTCATCAACGATACTCAGCGCGATGTCGTACTCTGGTCCCGTGCAGGGGGCACTGTACCTCCTGACGAAGAGCAGGGAGAAAGCCCAGCTAACGCTGAGGCCGGCATCGACATCGTTCTTGATGAACCCGAGCCCGAGGAGACGACTCAGGACAATTTCGCACCGCCTATTGATGAAGAACATGGTACCCTTCCAGCTGAGGAAACGTCCCTGCCGCCTATTCCAGATGTTGCTGATGTGCTTGAGGGATCGTTGGCTATCACCGATGCCCCTGCAAAGGCTGACGGCGATGAAGCTCCTGATGATGAGCAAATGCCCTCCGTAGAGGAGAGGCCGCTTGTTGAACCAGGCACCATCATTGCGCAGCCGGGTCCTCCAATCAGGACCGTGTACATCGGTGACGGAATGGCGACAACGGTGACGCTGGATGCTGAGGGTACACCAGTTGAAGCAATCCAGGAGCCGGTGGGAAGGCCAGAACCAGTACTTTATGCTGGTAGTGAGACAAAGCCATCCGCCGCGTTTTTGGAGAAGATCAAATGCTACCACTGCAAAGCTGAGTGTCTTCAAGGCCAGAGGATTTGCTCTCAATGCGGAGGGCCAGTTCGACCAGGTCAATTGAAGGCACAGGGCAGACGGACGCTGTTGGCACGTGGGCGTGAAGCTCTGCTTCAGGAGATGGGTGATGCCGCTGAACGAGTGGGAGTGAGGCCAAGCCTTCAAAGCGCATCGAAAGATGTCGCCGGCCGTGGCATGAACTCCTTAGAAGGCGAGGTTATTCGGAAAGCCAAAGTGGCAAAGCAGAGGGCCGTGAAAAAGGGCTACACTGATTGCGTAGCGAGGTTCAATCATGACAATGAATACGCAATTTCAATGGCCAAAGAGGGATACACGCGCAGGACGATTCGTGCCCTCGACTGCCTCTGCTTCGCCTACCTTCCGAACCCTGGCCGCACTCGATCGCAACGCATGCTGGCTATTGGATCCTCCAGAGCGGCAAGTACCACGCACCAGATCCGCACGGACGAGGTTCCGGAGTGTCGTATCGTTTTCTTTACCGGAGACGATGGCATTGGCGGCAAGTTGTGCGCAGCGGGACTAACGTCCACGCCGGAGGATACGCCAGTAGCATTTACTTGGTACGGAGCCATCCTTTCGTTCCAAGATTTTGCTCACAACATCGCCAGGCAAAAGGGGGGCATCCGTCTACAGACTTTTGGCCACGGTAAGGTGGATCTTCTCAACTACGATCCCGCTGCAGTGGGTGCGGACCTACAGACCGTTTTGGCAAAGGACCTACCCTTCATGGTGGAGACGGTTGATGAGACCATCAAAAAGGCCAATCAAAGTCGTGCTGCCCAGCCGAAGTATGCCCAGCAGCATCCGCCAGGTGGTGGCAAGGGCTCTACGTATGCCCGAGCAGCAGAGAAGGGAAAAGGCAAACGCCCGGCTAACGCCGAGGCCGCCGATCGCACCGACCGCGACTGGGACTGGGATGATCAATCCTGGTGGCAGAATTGGTCTTCGTCATCCTGGGGATCATGGCGCGGCCAGAACTGGGACAACCAGGACTGGCGTGAGTGGCGCAATCGCGGATGGCGTTGGTACTGATAAGCCGACCCAGTAGTCTGATTCCTTCGAGCAAGAGGGATGTTCACCCGGCCTGTGATATTTTTCAAGTGGCTGTGCGGCGAACTCCTATCGTCCTTGCTCCACGCTGAAACCAGCGTCTTGCATTTGAAGAAAAGCTCGTATGCAGTTTTCGCACCCTTCCTCGAGGCACACGATAGTCACATGTACTTTTGCTGATACAACTGATGACGCGGGAGGCAACTCCACGCCGATCGTCGAACTCCGAGCCGAAGCGCTCTTCCACCTGCAGGCGAAGGTATGCTGTGTTTTTTGAATGCAGTGACCGTGCCTTTAGGTGAGGGGGGTGTAGTTTTGCATCGCAGCTTGCGTAGGAGTTTGTATGGTCGTGTACAGTCATCATGTTGTGTACTATATACCGCTGACTATTGTGCCCAAGCCCTCTGAGTAAAAGGTTAGCGCGACCGCTCATGGCTTAACGGTTTTGGTGTATTCTATAGTAGTTTCAGAAGAATATAATAGAATGCTGCTACATCATTGATCGGTAATGCTTGGTGTAGAAGCAGACCGTCACCCCTAAACCTGAAATTTTGGGCTTCATGGGGTGTGCATGAGGCTTCAGGTTTTCATGGATTGGGTTTTCGTTTCTTGTTTAACATCTTTTAGGTGGTTTATGTGTACATACCTAGACCTTGGAGTATAGTACATTTGGATTTCAGGTTTCAAGGTTAGGGTAACCTAGCAGATACTCACGCCGCGCTTGGGTAGCGCCGTTTGTGGAGGCCGAAATTTGGAACATCATCATGCCCACACCGTTAAGCTTGGTAGAAGTTTAGGGTCTTCCGGCATTAATCAGGATTTTACAGGGATCCACCTACCATGGTGGGCTTCATTATAAGGGGGGTTGAACATGGGATATCACTATCCTAAGTTTTGCTTATGTGTTTTTCGGGGGCACTAGGATAAGCCCTGCTCCTAAACCCTAAAACCCTACACCCTAAACCCCAAACTCAACCCTAAACCTCAAACTAGCCCTAAACCCTAAACCCGATCCTAAACACTCAACCCTCTAACCCTAAGCCATAAACCCTAAATTCTAAAACCCAACCCTTAAAGGTTCAACCCAGAGCGCCGGGGGTATTGAGGCAGCCTCCAGGCGCTGTTGCCCTTGCGAGGAGCCGGATCGCAGCCTCAAGCTCGGATGTCTGTTTTTTTTGTTGGGAGTAGGGTTTAGGGCTTAGGGGTTTAGGGTTTAGGGGTTTAGGATTTTAGGGTTTAGGGGTTTAGGGATTTAGGGTTTAGGGGTTTAGGGATTTAGGGTTAGGGGTTTAGGATTTATTTAGGGTCTAGGGTGTTGGGAGTACTCTAACTATGTCGGTGGTTGTCGAAATTATGGTCCCTGTTTGGGTCCTTATTGTTAATATTTAGGGTACCGAAAAAGGGACCATAATTTTGACAGCTGCCCTTGTATCTATCTTCTGGATGTAGATCAGGATATAGATACAAACATAAAAGCGTGCACATATATACGGTGATATATATATATATATATATATATATATCGAGAGAGGTCTGGAGATAGAGATAGCCATAAATATAGATATGGATATTGATATGGATAGGGCCCCATAATAGTCGGAGCACTGAAGAGAGGTTGCTACAAGACCATCATCTTATATGTGGGTTACAGGGGCTTACCAAACTAGGGGTTCTGCAAGGGCTATTGCAGGTGTAGATACGCGGGTTTAGCAAAGGAGCTTATACGAGCTGCTATCAGAGTTCCATAGCAAGGGTTAGAAAAGAAAGGTTAGTACAAGGCTCGTACTTACATCTTAAAGTCTACACCACACAACCCCAAACCCCAAAACACGGCGCCCAGACCCCCCAACCCTGAACCTCAAGACTCCAAGCCCCACAAGGCAACCCGTGCACCTTGTCCTCCACACCATACACCCCAAAACAGACAACTCTAAACCTACTTGTGCTTCAGTGCTGCTAAACTCTGTTCGGGCCAAGGGTTCGATTTTTGGACCTCCGGGACAACGCCATCGAGTGCCGACCTCTGCATGTTTCTGGATAAGTGTTGAGTTCAAGGTTTTTTTTGAGGTTATAAGGTTTCAGGATTTAGCGTCTAGATCCTACGGTAGGGTTGCGGGCTTCAGGATTAGCGTTTAAGGGCTCAGGTAACTCCTTTTGGGCTCAGCACATGGATTTGGCCAGAATTGTAATCGTCACTTGGCTCTCTTCCGGTTGGCTTGCTTACCGTTGGTTAGTAGGGAATGGAAGAATGGTAGTGATAGTAGTTTTAATTGTACCCCGTTCCTCCATTCCCTACTAACCAACGGAAAGCTTGGCGGTCAGGAATTCAACTTGTAGGAGGGGCTCAGAAGTCTGCCAGGATTACCTATAGTCTCCATTCTAGTTCTTTTTTGGGGCTACCTTATGGGATCCTTAATATATAATCGGTTAAACCCAAAAAGGAACTACAATGGAGACTATAGGTATTCCATCATTGGTGTTGGCTTCACTGGTTTTTGTTTTAATTCCCCTTGCATTATTCAGCCCATGGGTTGATTTGGCGATGTTTGGGAGTTGGGGGTTTCCCAAAAATAGGGGACCCCAATATAGTACCCTAAAGAATCGGATCCTTATTGTAAGGACCCCCAAGTATGGAACCCCTAATTTTCGGAAACTTGCAGTTGTGTTTGTGTGGGTTCTATCATTGGAGACCACGGGGATTGTAGGCGATTTCAAGCGCATTTTTGGGGGAGGGTTTTCCCCAGCTTACCTCCCAAACGAACCCCCGAGCACACAACGATTGAAAGCACAAGCAACTTGCCTGTAGTCTCCACTGTAGTTCTTTTCTGGGCTTATATACCTTACCTGATCCTTAATATATACTTGGTTAGACGAAAAAAGGGAATACCATGGAGACTATAGGTGCTTCAACTTCAGCCGAGCCTGATCTTTCCTTAGCAGGACTTTGGGATGCGAGATTCAGGGCTCAAGCAATCTAGGCTTGGTGCCGTGTGGAAGGTGATGTGTGTGCTCCTCCTTGCTGTGGCATTGCGCTCGGTTTGGCTAGGAAGCTGAAGGACCACACTGTCTTCAAGCTAAACTAAACCCTAAACCCTAAACCGTGGTGGCACCTTTCGTTCAAGGAGCGCGCTGATCTCCCACCCTGAAGAAGCCGAGACCCCAAAATTCAGAGAAACAGCCGAATGCGTTCAAGTCCTAGGATGCCCAGTAGTACCCTTATTCCCTTTTTGTAGTCCTAGGTTCCTTATAAAGTTACCCAATACCAAAAAGAGAGGCCTTTTTATTCTTAGGTTACTGGGTATCCTAGAGTCCTGAACCGAAAGAGCAAGCATTCCCTAAACCTCGAGACGGAAAGGCATTTGGGTGAGCTCCTCTTTCTGGGCGGCCTCCACAACTTGCAGGCTTCATAGTCTGACCGGGGCGAGCTTAAAATTGAAGGTTCCTCTTCAAGCTTGCGCACGGCAATACTATCAAGAATCCCTTAAGAGTCAATATCATTATTTGGTGTCTGCCTTTCTGAACCGCATGTTCTTCAAGGTTCAGGTGGTTGGTGGTATAGGCTTTGAGGCCGTCGGCTGTTCACGAATCCCCGGCCTACCGGCAAAGTTCGTGAGAAACTAGCCTTTCCGGTGTCAAAGCAGATCGCTGTTCGTGGCTTCACGGATCGGGTGCTTGCAGTTCAGGGTTTCTGGTGCACGGCTTTGGACTGATGGCCTGCCGTCTGCCGAGCTTTGCTGTGGGATAGCTGTGAGAGCAGTTTCGGGTCGGGGTCAGGGTTTCGGGTTCGGAGCTGCGATGTGATTGTGCGAGTTTCCGAAACAGGGGACCCTAATATAATACCCTACATAGTAGGATCCGTATTATAAGTACTCCAACATAAGGCCCCCCCCTACTGTCGGACACTCCTATGTGGCATCTTTTTTCACGGCACCGATACTTCGGTACATGGGTTTGGGATGGTTGGAAAGCAGGTTAGTCTGTGGTGGAGTATGTGATTCACAGGTACCTGGACCCCCGAACCCTAAACCCCTAAACCATAAACCCCTGAACCCTTAACCCTAAACCCCGAACCAAAAACCCTAAAACACCCTAAGCCCTAAGACCCTAAACCCCTAAACCCGAATCCTTAAACCCTATAGATTCGATCCCTTGAAGGAACCGTTACAGTACCCCTTTAAAGGAACCCTTCAGCTTCACGCTACACCTCCCCTTTGTCGAGGACCTGCGCCTCCAAAGCGCCGGAGGACGCCGACGCTATCACTTGGTTCACTACGCCCTTGCAAACAGCCTTGTCCTTTTTCATGGTTCCCCCAAAAGAATAAACAGACCGGCTAGTAGACCTTCTTAAATAATTCCTGGGCGCTGTCTACTATAGAGGACAAGGGTGCTTGCAAATCCCAAGGGTCCAAAGGACCCATTAATATGTAGCTTTGGATTTCGGTGAGCATCTGATTCTTGCGTAATTGGACCCTTGGGGAATGGTTTAGGGTTTAGGGTATTATGGGTTTAGGGGTTAGGGGTTTAGGGTTTTGGGGTTTTGGGGGTTTAGGGTCTAGGGTTTAGGATTCTCGGTCTAGGGTCTAGGGGTTGAGGGTTTAGCGCAAGAATACTTCGCAAAGCTGCTTCTTGTGAATTATGGCTCCGTAGTTCAAAAGTATCGTAATCTACCCCCCAAAGTCCTCTTCTGTTATGAATTATGCTTCCGTTGCCTGAACACACCACGATCTACTCCAAAGCCCTCTTCTGATTATTAAGCCTAGTAGTCGAGTAGGTAACCTTTAACCTTTTTGGGTAGTATAGTCCCTATATAATCCCTATATAACCAAAAAGGTTAACCTGTAGTTCCCCATGATACCCGGCAAGTAGGTAATGCTTCGGCCCGCATTCTGCGGAGTGTGTCCATCCATCATTCGGTTGACTCGTGGCAGGGAGTCACTGAGGATTTCCAAGAAACCGGCCGTGGTTGCATCTAGGGCTCTGCACAAGTGCTGCAACCCGGAACTAGCAACTGAAATATGCTCAACCTTGTGTCAGCACCTGGAAGCGCCTGCATGAGCAATATCCGAGACCCGAAACCTTAAACCATGAACCCTGAACCAGAGGGTCCAAGTACTCCCTATTATAGGACCAAAAACCATATCTAGGGACTACTTGGACCCTTAGGGTGAACCTAAACCTGAATGCTACTAATACCTTCACCCTAAACCCGGCCTAACCCTCGAAAACCAGCACCAGGACGGCGGGCAAATCCTGTCTGTCGCCTGCCAGGCAGGCCCAACAATCCGGCATCTTCTCCTCCCTAAGACCAAGACCCCAAACTGCAAGCCCCAAAACCTCAACCCCTTCAAACTAAACCCTAAACCTTACAA